TTTTTGTTTACAGTGCAAAATATGAAAAACCCAGATGCGATCAAATACCATCAAAAGAAAGCTCTTTTTGTGGGGAAAAAATGAAATACATTTATGGAGCACAAGAGGTTAAACAAAAATAAACTGCAAGACAATAGGCACTTTCCTGTTTGGTCCAAACTGACTTAATTGCTATAGTTCATGGGGATATTTAATTGTTTATGTTTGTGTTTGGTTAAGGTTTACTGTGCTTTTAAGACATAAAAAAAGTTTTTGAAATAAACAATATTAATAATAGTAATAACAAGAACAACAACATTTTTTGAGAGCAGCAGTGCTCCTGTAAAGTAACAAAATCACTGTTGGACTCTGTGATAACTGCCATTTCAGTTGCTTTTGGCAGGTGATAAACTAAAGCCACTTTAGCACTCAGAAATGTATTTTTCACCTGTGAATCAGGTTTCAAAATCTCAAGGGGACAATGTCACGTTTTAATAGCACATTAAACTTTTCCCTCTGGTGTTAAAAATGCCTAAAGCGGTTTTTTACTCTTTGATGAATCAAGCATTGTTATCATACAGTACTAACACTTTAAACGTCAATTTAGCAACTTTTTATCTTAAGTAATTTTTTGCATTGCAAAAAGGGAATTTTCTGCTGAAAACTAGAACAAAGATACAGTTGTTTAAACAAAAAAAGGAAAGCATACACAAGCGCATCACATGTACTATATATACTGTATATATGCATACATATATATATATATATATATATATATATACACACACTATATTGCCAAAAGAATTGAGATGCCTGCCTTTAAATGCACATGAACATTAATGGCATCCCAGTCTTAGTCCATAGGGATCAATACTGAGTTGGCCCACCCTTTGCAGCTAAAAGAGCTTCAACTCTTCTGGGAAGGCTGTCCACAAGGTTTAGGAGTGTGTCTATGGGAATGTTTGACCATTCTTCCAAAAGTGCATTTGTGAGGTCAGGCACTGATGTCAGATGAGAAGGCCTGGCTCACAGTCTCCACTCTAATTTATCTCAAAGGTGTTCTCTTGGGTTGATGGCAGGACTCTATGCAGGCCAGTCAAGTTCCTCCACCCCAAACTCACTCATCCACGTCTTTATGGACCTTACTTTCTGCATTGGTGTGCAGTCATGTTGGAGCAGGAAGGGGCCATCCCCAAACTGTTCCCACAAAGCTGGGAGCATAAAATTGTCCAAAATGTTTTGGTATGCTGATGCCTTAAGAGTTCCCTTCACTGAAACTAAGGTGCCAAGCCCAACCCCTGAAAAACAACCCCACACTTGGTGATGTAAGGCTTGGATGCAGCTGCTCGGCTATGGAAACCCATTCCATGAAGCTCTCTACGCACTGCTGTTGTGCTAATCGGAAGGCCACATGAAGTTTGGAGGTCCTTAGCTATTGATTCTGCAGACTTGGTCACTTCTGAGCACTGTGAGCTTCAGCATGCGTTGACCCCACTCTCTCATTTTACGTGGCCTACCACTTCGTGGCTGAGTTGCTGTTCCCAGTTGCTTTCACTTATATACCAATAACAGTAACTATAATACCATAACAGTTGACTGTGGATTATTTACTAGCAAGGAAATTTCACAGATGGACTTATTGCACAGGTGGCAACCTATCACGGTACCACGCTTGAATTAACTGAGCTCCGGACAGTGACCCATTCTTTCACAAATGTTTGTAGAAGCAGTCTTTATTCCTAGGTACTTGATTTTATACACCTGTGGCCATGGAGGTGATTGAAACACCTGACCCCAATAATTTGGAGGGGTGTCCCAATACTTTTGGCAATACAGTGTAGATAGATAGATAGATAGATAGATAATAGATAGATAGATAGATAGATAGATAGATAGATAGATAGATTTTTTTTTTACAGCTCACAAGTTTATAAAAAAGCATTTTGAAGGGCAGAAACTTAAGCTGGCCACACATGGATCAACATTTGTCTGGTTCAGCAGGGACCAACTAAGATTCTATCTATTTACGGGCAGGCTGATTGTACACAAATCAATCCATGAAATCGACTTGGATACAACCAGCCTGTATTTTTTGACATTCAATTACAGCCAGGGGCTATAATTTCTAGCAGTAACCGTTGGAGCTATCGTGTTCTCCCGGCGTGGAGTTACATAGTTTTACATAGTTGTTAAAGTTGAATAAAGACACCAGTCCATAAGGTTCAACCTGCGTGTGGGAGTGTGTGTTTATGTCATTACCATTTTCCATACCCCTGTACATTGCATTCACTATGAAACACATCGAAAAGTCTTATAAATATGTATCTACACTCCTCCCTGACACCATCAAGTATGGAAGGGAGCCACACATCCTTACCACTCTAACAGTAAAAATTCAGTTTAACATTGAACCCTTTTTTGTCCATTCTTTAGAGACCTTAAATTGTATAGGCAGTCATATCCCCTCTTAAGCGCTTTTTCTCCAGGAAGAGTAAGTTTATTGTTTGTAGTTGTGCTTCATAACTGAGGTCCTCTAGTCCCCTTATTAGCTTTGTTACCCTTTTCTGGATTCATTCCAATTCAAGCACATCCATCCAAAGGATTGGTGACCAAAACTGGACTGCATACTCAAGATGTGGTTGAGCCAGAGTTTTGTAAAAGGGTAGACTTATAATTTTATCTTTTTAGTAAATACCCCTTTAATGCATGCCAATAGTCTACTTGCTGCAGCTTGGCATTGCATACTATTTCTGTCATCTACTGTGACCCCCAGATCGTTTTACATCCTTGATTTCCTCAGAGGATCTCCCCCTTGCAACTTGCATTTTTAGCTCCCATGTGCATTAATTTACATTTTCATTTTTACATCTCATCTTTCTTATAGCTGCCCCCCTTTAACCACCTCCCGTCCGGCCGTTATAAATGGCCGGACTGTGGCCGTGCAGGGGCGGGTGGCCATTTATAAATGGCCTCCCCTGCCCTCCTCCGGACACAGTGGAACACCGATCATCATACGGGACCTCGTGCGAGGTCCAGATCATGTGATTACTGATTGGCCAATCAGTGATCACATGCAGAGTAGTAAGCAAGATGTCACTTCTGACATCATTGCTTACTACGTGTGAAATCTGTGAATGATCATAGAGGTCACATGGTACAAGGCTATTCACAACAGCCTTGTACTGTGTGACAAGCTGTGACCAATCACAGCTCTCACAGTATTTCTCAACGGCTGCAAGAATGCAGCCAGAGAGAAGGAGGACTGATTGCTTTTACAGACTTTATGGATGTAAAAGCAATCAGCGTAAAAAAAAAAAAAATCTTTATCACCCCCCCACAAGTAGTGCAGTGTCACCATGGTGGCACTGTACTGCTAGGGTCACAGTATGTAAAATAGTTAACTAGGTACTCTTGTAAAGTTGTCATATCCAGTTGTGAAGTTATTGCCCTGATTAGTCTTGTATCATCAGCAAACACTAAGACTGAACTATTTATTTCAAACTCAATACAATTTATGAACAAGTTAAACAGAATTGGTTGCAGGACAGAGCCCTGAGGCCCACCGCTCACAATTCATAGAATGTTAAATGGTTGGTCTAGCAAGAACTCCTTTCATAAATCCATGCTGGTTACTACTAATAATACTATTTTTATCAGCAAATTCTTGGATATGGTCCCTTATCATTCATCCAATAGTTTACATCCTATCAATGTTATGCTGTTTTGTATTTTCCAGGTAAATATCTCGGACATTTTTGAAAATTGGCTCCACATTTCTGTTTCTTTTTTTCTCACAATAAAAATTTTATTCCACGTTTTCTTTTTGTCAATCAGCTGGTACCATTCTAATCAGTAAGATGTCCTTAAAATTAGGAATACTGGCTGGCTATAACTTAGCTAAGTTTTTTAAGAACTCTTGTCTTGGTAATGTATTCATTAAAATGGAACCTTAGTCATAAAACTAAGTCCTGCTAGATCACTTCAGGCTGGTCCTTTTGCAGGTATAGCTATGTAAAACATTAAAAATAAGTGCCTATACTGTTTAAAATCCAGTAATACACTGTCTCACCCTGCTCTGCTCAGTTGCTCTCTATTTTTCAGAACTGTGTTGGATTTGTAGAGGCTGATCTGTTGAAAATCTAAAGATTTACTGCTACTCAGGGGCTTTAGGATTCAACAAAATGGCAGCCTCCAGCAAGAAGAAACAGGAACAATGCTGGAGGCAGTTTAATGCACACACTAATTTTGGTAGCATAATTATTAATGTGGAATATATGTTTCTTGGTAAAGAACATTTTTTTTAATCAAGTTGTTATGAGTAAAGTTCCAATTTAGGTTATTTTAGTCTTTTTTGAACACAGGTTTTTTCCAGCAGCGAGGGTACATTCAACACAATGTTATTAACATTACTGTCTTTCCATTTGTTATACCTATCTTTTTCATTTGTGTAAACTGAGGAGATGAATGCATTTAATATGGTTGCCTTCTCCTTGTGACTTGTGACCAACATCCCTTGATCATCTTTTATAGGGCCAATGTGTTCTGACCTGGCCTTCATAATATTAACCACTAGCCTACAAGGCACTTATACCCCCTTCTTGCCCAGGCCAACTTTCAGCTTTCAGCGCTGTCCCACTTTGAATGACAATTGCACAGTCATGCAACACTGTACCCATATGAAATTTTTAGCACTTTTTTGAGACAGATAAAGCTTTTTTTTGGTGGTATTTAATCGCCTCTGGATTTTTTATTTTTTGCTAAACAAACCAAAAACCACTGAAAATTTTGGAAAGAAAAAATGTTTTTTCTTAGTTTTTGTTATAAAATTTTGTAAATAAATATTTTTTTCCTTCACTGATGTGCGGTAATGAGGCTGCAGTGATGGGCACTGATAGGCTGCACTGATGGACACTGATAGGTGGCACTGATGAGGAGGCACTTGTAGGTGGCACTGATGGGCATTGACAGGCATCACTGATGGGCACTGAAAGGCAGCACTTATATATGGCACTGATAGGTGGCACTGAATGGCACTGATAGGTGGCACTGGCTGGCACTGATAGGCAGCACTGACGGGCAATGATAGGCGGCACTGATGCGCACTGATAGGTGGAACTGACTGGCACTGATTGGCAGCACTGATAGGTAGCACTGACTGATATTGATAGGTGGCACTGACTGGCACTGATAGGCAGCTCAGATGGGCACTGACATGTGGCATTGATGACACTAACAGGTGGCACTGCTGGGGCTACACAGATTATCAGAGCACACTGATCATCAGTCCCCTGATGATCAGTGCACATGTTCCCTCTGAGTAATTCCAATTACCGGCTCCCCTCTCGAGCTGTCAGTGTGACAGCTCGTGAGGAGAGAAATGCCGATAACTGGCATTTCCCTATTTACATATGATCAGCTGTGATTGGACACAGCTGATAACATGACCGAGCCGACATCTTAGGCTCTTTCTGTTGATCCATGATCCACTGTGTCTAAGGGACACAGCGCACCACGAATCACCGCGCTGTGCGCTCCCGGAGCCGCGCATGCGCGGTTAGCATGGCAGGATGTCATATGACGTCCTCCCAGAACAAGAGAACCACCTTGCGCCCGTCATTACCTTATATGGTGAATGGGAGGCGGTTAATATATGTGAAAAAATGTTTTTGTTTTGTTTTTGTTTAACTACTCTTCAGTGTGTCTCTCATAATCTATTTTAGCTGCTGCTGTAGAGTCTCTTCTGCCAAAAAAAATCTCTATTCATTCCTATGAAAAGACCATCTATTTAATTATCCCACCAATGGACCATCTTTCACTAGGCATGAAGGAGATTACTCTGTGCATGCATGAAAGAATTAAAGTCTGGCTAGGAGACTTTCTGCAAGGAGGCTATATGGTGCTCAGCAAGCTATATAGCTAAGATCTTGGACCAACAGGGACATGCAAATATAAGACTGGGGAAGGGAAACATTTATGAATGAAGAGTACATGTTGTACACTTTTAATAAAGAAAAAAAAAAAAGACAGCCGTGCTATGCGCTGAATCGTGCACCACACTTCCCCTAGAGCAGTCGGGAATGGACAGCTGCTGGACAGGTAAAGTGCTCCATCAGCTGTCCATTCCTGTGTGAAAGACCGATCTGTCTTGGAGGACTAGGATCACTTACACCATTCACAGATCATAAGATGCAATATCATATGCAAGTTTTAATAGAAAAGAAAGTAGTTAAAGAAGTTGCACCAGCCTGCCCTGTATGTTACAGTGCAATAAATCTCATCCAATTTTGAGAAATGAATGGACTGTGCATAAATTTCACGAACTTCTTCAGTGAACTCAGCACTTTTACCAAACTGTACTGACAAAGGAGTCTTGTATAAACATGTATATTTAAACACTTTTATTTCAAAATGACATCTATGTCTAACTACTAAAGTATACTGTATTACACATTTTACTGTATTTCCCACTTGTCCAAAAGGATTGGCCTATTTCTTCTGCCATTATTTAAACGTTAGTGCATAAAGTGCCCTGAAAGGGAAAACTTTTCTTACAGTTTGCAATTATGGGTAATGTTAAAATGAGCAAACTGCCTATACAGTTATCATGCTACATACCAGCAGTTTCTGAATGTTGACTGGAACATGATAGTGGATTTAAGCAGTCCCTTGGAATATGAGATTATGAGGCAAAAAAGCTGGCTATACATTGATAGAATTTTGTTAGATTTTTTTTATTTTAAGACTGGCAACAATTTTAAGAATGACAAGAAAATCTGAAGGAGCAGGATGGAAAATTTTCAAACATTTTCCCAAATTAACTAATTTCTATCAGTTTGTAGTGCTTACCCCCACAGGAGCAACTTAATATAATGGGTTCTCTGTTCTACCACAACTCTTTAACCCACTTGGAGCCCACTGACACACATGGCTATAAAATGGGCCACAAGCAACTTGATGGTAGATAAAATAAATGTATTATGGCAAGACAAGGTAAATGTAATGTATAAACTATTAAACAGTCAACTGAGCAGGTTTAAAGATGCTGTACTCGATAAGGTGAGCACTGATCTATAATATGACAATCATATGAACTGCAGTAATGCTAAATCAAATTTTAACTGGTTTAAGCAGTAGTAAACGTAACAGCATTAGCTAACCAAAAAAATGTTCCAACGCACACTTTGCACATACACCACTAAAAGTGGGTGAGTGTACATGTTCCTGAAGGGGTACCCCTGGGGGAGGGCAGGAAAGTACCTAGCACAAAATTAGCAGTTCTAAGCTGGCCATAGCTTGGGCCTGTCTGTAAGGTGGTGCACGTGATTCTTTCTCTTCAAGACTGTACATAATGGATGACTGATGGGCTCCTAAGTAAGGAGAAGTCTCTATAGGCATTAACTGTGTTAACTGGCAGTAAGGGGATAGATTCAGTTGTTTTGCTCCCTACTCCTGGTATGCAATGGATCTGGTCCAGTATGCTTGGTAGTCTGTTTTCCTAGAAGGCTTAGTCCTAACGATTATGTCTTCACAATCAGTTAACATGGTAAGGTCCTCATGGTTGGGTTTTCACAAGGTTCAGACTTCTGGCTCTTTTACTATCCCCTGTGGCTCAGTACTCAGTTTCCATTGTTAGAGAACAGGACACAGCGATCCACTGGTCTGAATGCTCCAGTTCCCAGCAACAAAAAGACTAAAATTCTCTAGAACTGCCTGGAAAAAGTCTTGATCTGTATGCAGGGCTTTGTGTGTCCTGTAGATCACAGCTCAATTCACTGTTATGTGCAGTGCGCATTTAAAGACTACATATCCGAGTGTTCCACGCTTTGTTACATAGTTACATAGTTAATCTGGTTGAAAAAAGACACAAATCGATCTAGTGCAACCAATAAAAAGGAAAAAAATACCATCCAATAAGCACAATCCTATACCCACAATTGATCCAGAGGAAGACAAAAAAAACCAGCAAAGCATGATCCAATTTACTCCAGTAGCGGAAAAAATTCCTTCCTGATCCCCCAAGAGGCAACCATATATTCCCTGGATCAATTTTATATATAAATGTTAGTATCCAGTTATATTATGTGCATTTAGGAAATAACCCAAGCCTTTTTAAAGCAATCTACTGATCTGGCCATAACCAGCTCTTGAGGGAGTCTATTCCATATTTCCACAGTTCTTACTGTGGAAAAACACTTCCGTATTTAAAAGTTAAATGTCTTTTCCTCCAGATGTAAAGAATGCCCCCTTGTCTTCTGTGATGACCCTAAATTGAATAACCCTACACCAAGTTATGTGGACCACTTACGTATTTATACATGTTGATCACATATCTCCTCTTCTCAAGAGAAAATAAATTCAGTTCTTCTAATCTTTCCTAATAGCTGAGCTCCTCCATGCCTCTTATCAGTTTGGTTGGCTTTCTCTGTACTTTCTCCAGTTCCCAGATATCCTTTTTATGAATTGGTGCCCAAAACTGAACTGCATATTCCAGATGAGGTTTCACTAATGATTTGTGCAGGGGTAAAATATATATCTCTCTCTTAGTCCATACCTCTCTTAATATATGAAAAGATTTTGCATCCTTTGGAAACCGCAACTTGGCATTGCATGCCATTATTAAGCTTGTGATCAACCAGAACACCCAGATCCTTCTCCACCATTGATTCCCCCAGTTGTACTCCCCCGCTAGTATGTAAGATGCATGCATATTCTTAGCCCCCAAGTGCATATCTTTACATTTATCAATATTAAACCTCATTTGCCACATAGTTGCCCAAATAAACAGTGGTTTGAGGTCGGCTTGTAATTTGGAGACTTCCTGTAAGGACGTTATTCCCCTGCATAGCTTGGTGCCATCTGCAAATACTGAAATGGTTCATTTAATCCCAGACCCTATATCATTTATAAAGATATTAAAAAGTAAGGGTCCCAACACTGAACCTTGGGGTACACCACTAATAACCTTAGACCATTCAAAGTATGAATCATTAACCACTGCTCTCTGAATATGGTCTTTTACCAAGTCTTCTATCCATTTGCAAACTGATTTTTCCAAGCCTGTAGACTTTACCTTATACATTAGCCATGTGTGGGGAACTGTCTCAAACACTTTTGCAAAATCCAGGTATACCACGTCCACAGCCACTCTTTTGTCTAAGATTTTGCTTATCTCCTCAAAAAGAAATCTGATTTGTTTGACATCTGTGTTTCATCAATCCATGCTGTCTGTTACTACAAATATTTTTTTGACTCTATTATGTCATGAAGTGGGAGAATATGAACTGCTTCACTGTCCATCCTCCTTGCTGCTGATTTGTTCACTACTGCTGCAAGGAGAAGGGGGTGAGCGAGGTCAGCAGCACTGCCACCAGGAGAGGGGAGAGAGAAAGCCCACAGCCTGCAACCCACACAGCCTCTCTGTAACTGTTCAGATTTCTCACTACTGATTGACAGATGCTAGTATTGGTAGAAATTTTGACAAAAATACTTGGTGCCAAGACCAGCAATAAGCACCAGCAAATATCCCCTCTTTGATAATAGAGATAATAGAGTAACAAAACAAACTTTTATTACATCACTGTAAACATCAACAGACATTTCAAATAATTTAACCTCACAATGAAAGAGAAAGATCCTTATGGGCTGTTAGGAATATCAATTTAGGGCCCTTTCCTCCATAGAACAAACATACAGTTCAAAGTACTTTGGGAACAATGCGACACGAATAACTAGATGTGTGATGCAGAATTCAACTTCTTTATTATTGATCAGGCCTTAAGTAATAAATGATAACACTACATATTTCAGGGGTTTCCATAAGGCACAAGTCAGAATACAGTAAAAAGATTTCAGTAAACTACTCTATGGCTAGTCATAACAAAATGCAACAGTGTAGTAACTTCTGCAATTTCTCACGGAATAAGTGAGTGCATAGATAACAGAATTTCAATCCCAAGGGAACATATTGTATGCAAAGTAAACCAGTTAGTAGGCACAAAGCAAAAGTTAGTTAACGATTAACCCTTTAACAACCTCCCTTTTGTCACAAAGTGACAACTGCTGTATTCACCCTTTATACCTTTCAGTATTGTTTTACTGAATGTGCCATTGTCACCAAATTGGGAATACACTGTGTACAACAGCACACTCCAATTAGGCCACAGGATGCTATGATCAAACCACCCACTATTTGCCTCAAACTTCCTAGTCCAGGTATCCATCCAAATACCCAGTCTCACCAATTACCAATAACATTCTGTTTAATTCCTGAGGCCAACTCATTTAAAGCCTTTATCTGTGCTTGTATAGAGGTGGCATGAAAAGCCTTGATGTGTGATTGTATAGAGGTGGCATGATCACTTAAATTAAAACAGCACATTCCATCATAATGTTTACAACATAGTTATTTTTAAGCAGTAAATAATCTAGTCACTCGATTCTGAAGCACAGCTTTACGGGTTCCTTGTAGATCGAGCAACAACTCCTGCAA